ACCTGTGCGCACACACACACACAAACACAAACACACACACATCCACCTGTGCACGCACACACACACACACCTCCACCTGTGCGCACACACACACACAAACACAAACACACACACATCCACCTGTGCACGCACACACACACACACCTCCACCTGTGCACACACACACATGTGCACACACAGACTTAAACCAGTTCATCCTGTAAAATCAACTGAAATCATTTATATGTGTGAAGAATAAAACAACTTATGAGCTTAAAAACCAGAGTCTGAAGGTAAACATGTGATTCTTATGGATTATTTGATTTGCTGAGACAAAAGACAGAAAATGAAAAACATTGAATGCTGATTATTTCTGGCACTAAATGCATATTTAATGAGATAAAGATTCTGGTCTGAGAAGTCAGGAAACCTTTGCGGCTCACAGCAGCGCTCTCCCCTCAGTCACCACTTTTCGCTGAAATCTGATTATTTTACGTTGATCATTCTAATAATTAAATGCGACTGTAATCAGATTTCAGTGTGAACGGTTTCCCAAAGCGACCTGCATATGCAGAAGAAGAACGTAAGCGTCACCCAGCAGCGTGTTAAGATGGCCGCCGCCGTATGCTTTTCGTTTACGTCCAGATTATGACGCACGTCTCACATCAGTGACACGAAAGATAAAATGCAACATGATCGTTTGGACACTTTAAAAACTATCAGATAGGATTTAGTTCCACAAACAGAAGAAACACATAACAGATGTCTTGGAGGTAAAAAGTTCAGACTGCAGGATCAGCAGTATGAATGTGACTCTGATCCAGAGACTGGAGATCATTTCTCTGCATTTACACCTGATCCAGGATTTTAACCTTCAGAGGTCTGTCAGGTTTATTCGTCTTTTGTTTCCACAGACTTTCAATAATCAATTCATTTGTATATTTTCTACAGCCAATCAGGCAGATCCATTAAATACCTTAATGAATGCAGCTTTACATGTACGGTTATGATTTAAAGGAACCAGTGATCAACAACATGGAACAAACTGGTTCCAACCAGTCAACCAGTTCCAGGTCTGTTGACTTGTGTGATAATAAAACTAGTCAATAAGTAAATACTTAGAGCTCTAATGAGTCTAGATCACTAAGAGGCTGAAATGGCTTTAACTCGTTAAAAAGAGCTCATTTTATTCTTTGCATTAACTAATAAATATTATAAATCTACTAGTGGGACTCAAACATGTTTTTGGTACTTTATTAGTTTTTAATACTGTTGGTTCTCATCAAACAGAACTCTGCTGAATTATGTTTTATCATAAAATCCTTTTTTTACTCACCAACTCTCCCAGTTTCAGTTTCGATGGTGAAGCTTGGTGATTGCTGCAGATTGCTGCAGATTGCTGTCATCAGTCAACCAGAACGCCATCGACTGTCCCAGATTCGCCGAGTCTCCCTCGACTTCGTCTCCTGGGACGGTCGGCGCTCGTCCCCCACCGCGGCTGCTAAAGACGTTTAAGACGGCTCAGGCGACACGGAAAACAGCAAAACTATTTTCAGCTTTCCAGCTCGACCTCCGGGACGAGAGGCTGCTGTCAGAAAATCTTAAGAGGAATTTATTTTTAGTGTAAAATTAGCGAGGATGCTGCTGTTTTTGTCTCCCTGCAAGTTGGAGGAGAAAAACTTCCGATCAAAGAAACGACGGAACAAAGAAAGTAAAAATAGTCAAAAGAGAAGAGTTGCTGCTGCTGCATCACAGAGAATAAGTCAGACTCTTCCAGAGGTGATGTTCTGCTCACACAAACTGATTAAACTGAAGCTCAGCCTCCATCTGGTTTCTGCCTTAAAGTCCAAAAACATTCAGAGGAACAGCAGCCTGGAGCCAAACTGAGCATCTTAATCCATTCAGAAAACCAGTTATTAATCTGAATTAGCTCATTTTAAAATGTCAGAGTTAATCTGGGACGTTAGACTAAAGCCTGGACCGTCCGTCCATAACATCCAGATTTCTGAGGCTCTTTCTGTTAGAATGAGTTTTGATATAAAACATAAATTTATCTCAAACAAGTACAAACTTTGAACTTGTCACTTCTAGTGAGTTTCAACCAATAAGTAACAGAAACGACAAAAAACAAACTTTACTTCCAATTTGTGCTGCGTTTCAGGTAACAGGTAACGACTAGTAACGAGTTCCAGACATTTCTAAAATGTTACATGACTTTTCAGAACATGCTAACATGCTAGCATGCTAACTGTCCTCAGTGTTCTGATCAGGTTTTGGTTTCATTGTTGCTACTTCCGTCTTGCCATATTCGGCTGCTTATTATTTTATTTATGTCTTGCCATATATAGTTGACACTCATATTCATACAGGATTACATCCTGCCTCAGTCATGTTGGTCTTTATTTCACTGCTTTTGTGAAACGTCATAATCGGAACAGGGCGCTAATCAAACTTTGATGCTTCTTTCCATTTGTCTCGTCATACATGTTTGCTCATTTGTATGCGATGTGCCAGAACAGAGAAACATCTGCAAACATGTCAGGTAGCAGGAAGATGAAGCCTGATCTCACTGCAGGACTTCCTGTTGAGTCTCTCATATCCAGAATAATTAGTTTTGGCATCTAATGCTAAATATTGATGTGAACTCCAGATGCTCTTCCTCTCTCTGCACTTATCTGGACTTCATCCTTTTTCTCATTTTGTCAGCAAAACATGAAGTCATTTAATTCAGAACTTTATGCAAAATTCAATTAAATCATGAATGAGTCCGCTCTGTTCAGAACCTGCACACTCAGCCACTCTGGGCTCTTTAAATGTATTTATTTTAACAGAAATTGTCTGTTAAGTCAGTAAATCGTTTTGCAATCTGAACTGCTGGATTTTAATCTGAAAGGTTTATGAAGCAGAAGCTCATCATTGACTGTTTGCATCTCGTTTTGCTGCAGTGAAGCTGCATTTGAATGTTTTGAGTCTCTTTAATATCCCGGCTCTGCCTGGTTCTGTTGCCGCCGCCGTTCGGACCTCCGGTGTCGCCGCCTCATTGTCAGACCGGCTCCAGAGACTCTTCACTTCGGGTTGCTTTTCTCTCCTTCCTCTGCGGTTTGTCTCGTTTCTTTTGTCCTCGCTGACCCATTTGAAGACTTTCAGGTACCGCCGCGGCCCAGCGAGACTCCATGATGGGGCTCCGGGGCTTGTTGCCTAGCAACAGCGTGTGTGGCAGCACTGGCTTTATGTAACAGAGAGCTTGATGGCTGAATGTAGGGCGCCCAGCCTTCAGGGGGGAGTTAAGGGATGGTAGAGTCTGTGTCCACGACACACACACACACACACACACACACACAGGACCAAAACACACACACACACAGGACCAAAACACACACACACACACACACACACACACACACACACACACACACCACCTTCTGTGTCCCTGAACAACTAGAAACAAAACTAAACACAAAAATATGTACAAAAAACCAAAACCATGTGTAAAAATGTCATTAAAGAGTTAAATCCACCAACCATTCACTATGATTCTGATAAGAAAAACAAAAAGAAAACCACTTTAGTATTCTTGTCCCAGAACCAGAACCAGAACCAGACGAGGCTAATGATGCTCACAGATACGGACGGACAGTGAAGCTTCCAGATTTTAACTTTTATAATCCTTCGTTTCTTCAGGTCATCAGGCTCTAAAACAAACTTCATCATCTCAGCAACATGTTCTTAATCTGAAGGCTTCAACAGCTAATATGCTAATAGCAGATTTAGCACCAATTAGCTCTGGTGCTAAATTAGTTTAGCTCTGCTAATTTAGCATGTTAGCTAGCTTTGAAAACATTTAGCACACTTCTAAATGAATTTCATTTAAATGTGGACTAAAGTTTGACATCTGGGGTTGGGGTTAATCTTTGGTGGAAATATTCTGCTGTTCCTGTGGCTCTGATGTGTCTGTCAGATTTTATGCTGCTCCTCTCAGTGTGCAGGTGTGTGTTTTTAGGTGTGTGCTTCTCTGTGTGTGTGTCAGTGTGTCCTCGCCCTGCCGGCCCAGATGGCGGTCGACCCGTTGTGGTCGACTCAGCGGCATCACCGGCGGGAAGGAGACGGTTGCCATGGTGACGTCTACTTCATGTTTGGTTGGAGTCTGACCAGCTGATGCAGAGGAGCGGCTCTGATCTGATTGTTTTGAGTTTCTCTGATCATTTCCCAGCATGCCCGGCTCTGGACGGGACCGGTCAGCGGCTGCTGCTGTAGCAGTGACTCGGTTTCTCCTTGGCTGTGATCCGGGCAGCAGAAGACAACATGAGCTCAGCTGTGGCGCCGGCGGCGGCTGGAGGTTTGTGCGTTTCGGAGCCGACCCGCAGCATCAGAAACAAGCAGAAACAGCCGGCGGCGGCGGCGGCCGACAGACGTGACGAGAGGAGCTGAGTTAACAACGTAAAGTTCATTTAAAAGCACCGCTGACCTTTTCCTGGAACGAGGCGGGAACGGCAGCAGCTCAGCGGGTGAGGGGACGTCCTCCAGCAGAGGACAGAGACAACGTGTCCTTCGTCCAACAATAAACACCACAGGACCTTCATGCAACGTGTGTTTAAATACGGCTGGAACCAGACGGATACACACACTCAATTAAAAAATAAAAATGTTTTCTTGTTAAAGGTCAGAACAATGGGAGACATTTTTAGATCATTTATTGAAACTCCAAAGTTTACATGTTTCCTTACTATTGCTTAGTAATATTCCTGACATATTAGACAGAGAAAATCTGGGAGTTATTTTTCATGAAGTCTCCAGAAAAACAAACCAAACAGCTTCTGAAGATCTTCTTCTGGAGCCAGAGCCGACCGTAACCTCGTCTTAAAACCTCTTCACTCTGTAGAATATCCCACTAAATTTTAATTTTGACATTCAGAGACAAATCCTGCCAAGCTGGTGGACTGAGGAGTAAAGTCCAATCTACTTGTGGTCGTTGGATCCTAATGATTTTAAAAAGTAACTTAAATTATTCTTTTGTAAACAAACATTTAGTCTCAGTGTCTGCGTTTCCATTGGCCATGTAAATCCACAAACTGGAATTATGAAAATAAATTCACTTAATGGAAACACAGCAACTTAGAAAAAGTGTTTTTTGACAAAAAGTTTTGGAGATTGGATAAGTTGGATTTTGGTGGCATTGAAATTAGTGTGTTTAGAAAAACTGTAATGGAAACTTCATGATCAACCACCGAATGTTATTACAGGTGGAAACGACAAAGAGGATGACAGGAAGTGGTAGAGGATGATGTTTAACGACTTATCATGTGAACAAACTGTATTCACATGTGATCTTAATTGTGATTTTTATCTAATGGAAACATTACAACTGTTAAATTGTTTTTGACATCAGCAGGATATCTGTCATTAATAATAGAAACACAGCTACTTCTATCTGGTCTGCTATGGACATTATTATATTAAATGTTCCTTCAACTGTATTTGAATTATGAAGCTCTTTGCAGTCTGAGAAAGGTGCTAAATAAATCAACCATCCTCACTTGCTCAGCTCCAGGCAGGTGGATCCTGAATCCGACCTGTGGAGGTAAATAATGCAGGTCACTCTGAAAAACACGCAAACCGAGTTCAGGAAGCGCATAATCTTTGTGCTTCCTCAGATAAACGCCAGCTATACCCGAAGATAAAATTAGATTTGCTGCTAACTTTGAAGAAAAGCAGAAATGGCATTGATCTCTGGGAAAACCCACAGCGATGTAAAGCGCACTGCTGAAGTAAAAATGCAGCTTCAAAGTAAACAAACCACTTTTTTCTGTCTTAGAAGTGAACGTTTTGCATAACGAATGAGCGCCAGAGGTAAAGATTTGGCCCCCTGCTGCTGTTAATTAGCTTCCTGTCATGATGGCGGTCCTGAACCAACTTTCACTGCATTCCCTCTTCTGGTTTTACATCCGTCAGACTGAATTAGATCCGCTCTGTTGCCTCAGCGTGGAAGGAAATTTCAGATTCACTGGAATTAAAAACTTTTTTTTTTACATTTTTAAAGGCGATACAGAGATTTGTGACTTAATTCTCAACCCAAAACCCTGCAGAATTAGTCAATAAATATATTTGTGGTTACTTATAAATTCTGTTTTTCCATTTAAAGTCAAATCTGTGCTGATCTTTTAAAAGTTTAAAAAGACATTAATTTGTCTTGGTTTTACAAGGTTTATCAAACGAAATGCGTTTGCTTTAACCCTGAAGCATCAAAAGGTTGTTTAGTCTGAAGATGCTTCTAGAAACTTGTGATTCGTTACTGCAAAGTAAATATTCGTCATTATTTAAACTTTGGTGAAATTTATCAAACAGAAAAATATTTTATAGCTTCTGGCATTTTTAGTCTCATTTTGTAATTTAATCTGCAGTCCATACCTTAAACTATGTTGGATGATTTGTAGGAAAGCTAAGATCACTTTGTTAATGTTTTACCTGCACAGGTGACGGAGGGGGAACCGATCAGAGATGAACCTTTCAGTTCGCTTAACAACCTAAAACAAAGAGATAAACGGAAAAAAGATTAAATCTTGGGATTTTTTGGCCTAATTTCATCAAGGTATATCTTTGATAAACACAAGTTTGCTGAATTGATAGCACTAATGCTAGCTTGTAATCCACTCAGATACGCCGTTTCTTATTTACGACAAAACGTTCCAGTCAACTAAAAAGTATTCAGAACTACGGAAGCCGAGTAAATACAGAAATAAACGGACATGTTTCCTACACAGTTAGTGTAAATTCATACTAAGAAAGTCTGAATGTATAGCAGACCGAAACCGCTCCTAAAGCAGGAAGTGGATTACAGCGCGGGGCATTCTGGGTAAATACAGCCAAAACAAACACGCAAGTCTCGGGTTAGCGGGAGAAAGGTCTTTTACCAAAGACAAGATAAATCCTCCAACAGCTAAAATCTGACGCCTTTATTTTGGTTCCGTTTGGTGAAGAAGGAAGTTGCTCTCAGTGTCTTCAGAGGTTTTTGTGTCGTTTCCTTCAGTGATTCTTGGCGCAGCGCCCCTACAGGCCAGGAGGGGAACAGGTTTTTCCAATTGGTTGTTCTGACTCAGGGCAGTGAGAAAGAGAACAAATGCTGCAGTTTTGATCCCGAATCGATCCGAGTCTACCGGACAATCAGGAGGGAAAACAGAATAAAACGCAGTTTGAAAGAACCTGCATGGCAGATTCAGACAGTTTTTTCTCCACCTAAACCCACAAACTTTACAACGTCATCAGTTCATTGCCTTCTAAGTGTTCAATCTATTACTAAAGCATTTCTAAAGTAACTTCATGTTTTAGTTTTCTTCTAATGAAGGACAGGACAATTGATCAAACATGTGTTGAACACCACAGTTTACTGCCTCTAGCCATCGAGCTTGACATCGTAAATATTCATCCTTGATAACTTTGTTCCATTTGTGCCTCAAAATCTGAATTTATACTTACAAATGGGTAAAATTCAGTCTTTGAAATGTGGAGATTCTTCACTAACTCCATCCTCTCACTGTAATTTCCTGCTCACAGTGAAATCTGCTCCAAAACAGTTTTTCTTTCTCATTAAATCATTTTCTATTCTAAGATCTGCTTTCTGACATTTAGAGATATTTTTGCTGTGGATCTCAGTTAAACTCAAATGAAGAAGATCTGGGAAGTCGCTGCAGCCAAACTGAAAACAGCTAATAAAAAAATCTGTTGTGTGAAAGACAGATGGGGCCTGACAGCAAATGTAATGGCTGCTCCATTGGCACCAAGAGTTTTTTTTTTTTTTTTTTTTTTTAAAAGAAAATGAAGCCCAACCGAGAGGTCTGATGTTTTCCAGGAACCGGGCAGAATACCTGCAGGTCCGCTGATCGGAGGATGTTTGAGGTGAACTCTTTGCTCTTCACAGCAGCCAGCAGGAGGTAATTTGTCAAACAGAGAACAACGGCTGGGAGGATTTACTGCAGGCGATTTCCACTCTGCAAAGCATCCGAGGTGGAGGATCCACAGCAGAGATTTTCCACTGACTGTGGGAACGTCAGACTGCAGAGTGGACAAAACATTTCTGATCATCCAAGATGAGAGACAGTCGCTTTTTAAAGTTCAACTGATGGTTTAAGTCTAAAATAGTTTATCCAACATTAGCTTTTTACTCCATGTTCACTTTTTCATCCATTTTGGATTGTTTTTCTCCAGGTTTTAATGCCTGTAGCAGTTTGAATGTTTATAAAGCAGAATAAGAACTTTGTTTGGAGTCGCAGCGTCCGTCGCTGACGTTTTCTGGGTGAGAGCTTTTTCATATCTACTGTTTATTTCTGAAGTTTACACAGAAAATAAGATGAAAAACACAATAAAATGTAAAGATTGCTTAGAAAGACCACAAAATAAAAAATGTAGAGACTGAAAACTGATTGAAAATGTATATTGCCACATAGTTTCCTTTCAGTTTTATGTTTTTTGATGTGTTTTCTGAATCTCTGACTGCAGGATCTTTATGAGTTGTTGCCTGATTCTGATTTTTTTATGTTTGTTTTGACTCGTCTCGTTATTTTTATTTTTTATTTTTTGATATATTCAGCTCTCTCATGCAACATTTTTTATCCTCGTCCATTTTCCAGCTGCATTCAGCGTCTTTGTGCTTCTTTTAGGGAAGCTCTGGACAGATCCCAGATCCCAGATCCCTGCCGGATCCCTGCCGGATCCTTGGTCGGTTGTTGGTGCCGCTCGGCGTCAGGTTCTGATGCTGCTGCACAGATCCAACAGCGTTTTTCCAGCATTTATAAAGCCAGTAATAAAGACACAAACACTGCAGGCTCAACAGGCCGGCGTCACCATGGCAACCCCATCCTCCACATCTGCCTTCATGCTGTTTCCTCCTCCTCCTTCTTGTCTAACAGAAAATCCATACAGAGGGGAGGAAAGAGAGGAAGAATCAATTCCTCCTGGAAGAGCCGGCTTTGTGTTTGTCTCTGCCGCCGTCACCCGACACTCAGACGGCTGCTTTGATTTCCTGATTTACTCCTCACTGATGTTTCTGTTTGGAGCATCAGTCTCAAGAAAAGGAAGTAAAAACCACTGATTTGTAAAAACAAAATAAAATAGAATCACTTTCTATCTGTTTTCAAACCATTATTCGTGTAAACACGGTGAAATAATAGCTTAAAGCCTCAGACTCTCCAGCAAAATGAACCTTTTCTGGAAACCAGGCGATGCGTTAGTCTGACTGGATATCTGCTGCCACCTAGTGGATGGATGTACAAACTACAACCCGCATCTGATTACCAAACATTGAAAAGTTTTAGCAGCGCATCTTTTATGGCACACAGAAAGCTGCTGAAATGTTTCTTAACCCGGCGATTTTCTTCAGGGAGCAGGAGAAATCCAAACCTGGACAGAATCACCTCTAAAAGTTAATAAAGTTTATTCGATCTGTCCAGAGTAAAAACATAAAACGTTCTAACTTGTTGCTTCAAAAAACTAAAATTTTCTCTTTCAAACTTCCTGTTTACTTTTTGGAACTCAAGTTTCTAAAATAAAAGTTTTATGTTGGAGAAACAGCTTGACAGGTGACATTAAAACGATTGGTTTTAAACCATTGGACATGTTTAAAACCAAAATAAGAAGTAATAATTATAGCACTACAGGAATAATTAAAGCTTTTTAATGATCTAAACACTGATTATACAGTCTTTAAAACTTTGTTGCTTGTAAAACTTTTATTTTTGTAAAATAAATAAATAAAATATGGGAACTCTTAGTTTTTCTCACCTTATTTCCTTCAGATTAAAGTTTATTTTCTCTGTCTACTAGAGTCTGAATGAAAGAACTGAAGAATTAAAACAAGCAGACGTGTCGCTTCTATAAAAAATTAGACCCCTTTTTATTGTGTTCCATATATAAAAGAAATACAAAAAAGAAACATCGACACCGGGCAAAGGTCAAAGGGCAGGGGTCAGGTGTGAACGGGTCCGACGCAGGTGAGATAAAAATGGGAACGGACAGCAGGAACGTTGGGGAAAGTCCCGGATAATCAGTCTGGAGGACGTCCAGTCCTCCCAGTCCTCCCAGTCACCATCTCCTCCTCTAAAGTTGAGTTTCAGTTCTACAAACATTCACAGAAAGCAGAGCCGCTCAGGACGAAGATCAAACCTCATTGGCTGGATTAAACCGAAGTGGGCGGAGCTTGTAGAGAACGTGAACACCGGAGGAACGTTCAGTTTCAGACATTCATGATAAAAACTTCAAAATAAAAGTCTCTTCTCCTGGATGTCCAAACCGCCCTTTGTATCAGAAATACTTTAATAAACCAGAACTAAACATGAGTTTACATTCATTTTTACTGAAAACATTAAATAAAGTCATGAGGAGAAAAAAGTTTCAAACAGTTTATTGTAACAAAAACCAAGTAAAGCTCTGATTCAGAACCGATTTCAGCAGCGAAAACCTTCAGAGGACTTTAACTGTCTGGCTCCAATAGCTGCAGCTCATGCACACATTTGTCTTGTAAGGTTGTGGACTTTGACTAGGCCGTTACGACACATCGAGTCTTTTCTTTTTTAGCGATCCTGCTGTGAATAGTCGGGCGGGTTCGGATCATTTCCCTGTTGATGACCCGGTTTGGGTCAAACCGACCTCACGTTTAATTCTACTGATACATTGGTACATAGAGGAGGTCAAAGTTCATTTAATGGCTGACCAGGCCACCAGGTCCCAGTCATCAGCAGCTCCACCTGCTGGACGGTAGGTATGAGGCGATTGTGGTGAAATGATGATGTGCTTTACCAAATGTTGCCACTTTAGGACAAAAGTCTAAATATTTTTAGACTTTTGTCTGAGTTAGAACTAACTAACTCATACTTAGTTCACCGAATGTTTATCATAATTTCCCCTTCAGAAGTTTTTCTTATGTAAGCGATAATCCTGCCGTGTGTTCAGAGTGATCTGGTTCGCTCTGATCTAAAGTCGGTGATATTCAACACGTTGGCGCGTCAGGGCCCGATATCGTTCCCAGAGGTCAAACGAGTTCACAGCCTGCTGAATGTGGCAGGTCAGAAACACAGAAGATAAAATACCTGCCATGACGCACCAAAACGTCCGGAGGACGACAGAGAGGTTTTATTATTCTCTGCTAAATATGATCCATAATCTATGTTTGTTTACTCTGAACTCACGTTTTCTGAAATTTCCCGTCTGACGTCTGAATGTTGTCTGCTGCTGGATGAACTGTACGATCAAACCTGTTATATGTTGCTGCTTTACCCTCTGACTGCTCTGAAGAACGATAGACTCAGAGTTCAGACTTCACAACTCTTCCCAGACTGACGGGCATCAACAACCTGGCATAACATTAACTCACAGCTCCAGATCAACAAACTGCCAGTTGTTGTTTTTCTAGATGCATTTCTGCTCCTGATGATCATTAAATGAATGGATTTGATCAGCACCACCTGATCAAATCCATTTGACTCTGATGGAAACGTTTTTTCTCCCCATGACCCTGAAAAGCCCTAAATCAGCCAAAGTTTAATGTACAATTAGCGCCTTATTGTTTCCAAGTATCGGTCAGAGTTTCAGACCGATGGTCGGACGCTTCGCCCACCAAGGTTTAGCTCAACCACAGACGGGGTTTGTGCCTTCGGAGCAGTTCTGCCTGTAAGGAATCAGCGTGGAGCCAAAACTCTGCCGGGCGCCTCAGGACAGATCCGTCTTATCCGGAGCTTCGGCATGATGGCCGCCGCCCACCTCGGCCCCGCCGGGCGCCAACAACGTCCTGCGGTTGTAGTGGTGGTGGCCTTTCATGATGCCCGAGTTGTTGTTCTCGTTGAGAATCTGCTTCTGCTTCTGCCGGTTGAGCGACTGCACCAGGCCCAGCACCACGGCCGCCAGAGAGTACTGGCCCGTGATTTTGCGCGGCTGCAGGATGAGCGGGTTGGGCTGCACCCGGCCCAGCAGGAAGTGAGTTCGGATTTTGCCCTCTTGCTCGCTGATGCCCTTGACGTAGATCTCGCCGCGGTACTCGAAGGCGAAGCCTCGCTCCTTCAGGATGAGGAAGGTTTCCTCGGGAACCTGGATCTTGCCGCTCACGCCGGTGCTGTCCATCCGGCTGGCCAGGTTCACCGTCTTCCCCCAGATGTCGTACTGCGGTTTCTTGGCGCCGATCACACCCGCCACCACCGAGCCGTGAGCCATTCCTGGGAGAGAAACAACTCACTGTGGAATCTGGTTTTAAATAATTAACACGTTTCATTTCTTCAGCTGTGGAAGCAAACGCTATGGAAACTCATCTACAAGTTATTACAGCAAATAGTCAATTAATTTAAATTTTAAAGGGATATTTTCCAGTTTTCTTAAAGTTTACCCTGCATGTTAGAAATACTAACATGAAACACTGCTGAACAGACTCCTTCAATTTAGAGTAAATCCATGTTACAGATATCAGATAAAGCTACATTAGGTATAGAGATGCAAACAATTAATCAACTTAATTGTCTTTTAGCGGTTTATTAGATTAAAATGTGTTTCAATCGATTAACTAATATTGTCCGCTTTAGAGTTGTAGTTTGTCCCGCCATCCAGCAGAGGGCGCCGCTGGTCATCCTGTAGCGGAGCCAGAAACAAAGATGGCGGAGATATTCCAGAGAGGAGAAGATAAACGGTCCGAACAGAGTCCGCTGTGAGAAGCTAAGTGCATTTTATGCGGTTCTGATTTGAAATATAAACATTTAACAAGCTTCTCAGCTTCACCGTAAGCTTTTATTCAGCTGCAGAAACTTTAACTCCTCGACCAAAAGTTACTGATGTGCTACGAAGTTTAACGATGTGAAAAAAACTGACATTATTCAGTCAGTATTTAGCTAACATACAATAATGTTACATTTTTTAAATTCACTATATGATGAATAATAATATACTGAAGTATTATTCAGTATATTATGAATATATAAAGGGGAAAGACTTTATGTTATTCAGTATCATGGAAAGATGCTCCTCTTGAAAGAAAACTCAGATTTCTTTTTAAAATGACCTTTTAATTAATCGATAAGATCAATCAACTTTAGATTCATTAATCCATATTAGGTTATGGATGGTAATTATCAGTGTTTCCGATATAAAGCATAGAAGTTCAACATGTAGATTACAAAACTACATGTACTGAATCCAGCAAGAATGAGAATTTTAAAGTAATCTAAATAATCTGTCATAAATAGAAAAGTTAATTCAGGTTCCATTGATAATTTCTGGCTTCTCTGATTGGAAGTTTATCATTTTTTAATTTTCTCTGAAAACAGAAGGATCAGTCAAATCAAGCAGGTAATAACTTAACCAAGTGTAACAGAAGCAGATCTTCAGACTGAGCGAACGCGCTCACCGATCCGCAGCTCGAAGTTGTTGAACGAGTGCTTGTTGATCTCCTGGATGCTCTCGTTCAGGGCGATGGCGAAGTCGGCCAGCGCACACAGGTGACCCCATTTATCTTCACATTGCTGTGGAGGAATCAGAGAAAACGGCTGAAATAACCTGAAGACGCCTGGAAGCTTCACGGATCGGCCTGACGAACCGGGCCAGAGAAGAACCAAAGCAGGAATTTAAAGTTTGAACGTCAGAACCACCTTAAATTGACCTCATATTAAAGAAAAACATTAATAATTTCAGTAATCGTGTATATAACATGTTTATGTTTTATGTAATCTCCAACAAACCTGATAAATTGATTATAGTTGGATTGAAATTTAGTTTGTGGGGATTTTGATTATTTTGAACGTGTCAGAAATGATCAATTACATGAATAAAACAGATATAAATAATAATGTCCAATTCTTAATAAGTGATCCCACACTAAAGCACCTTGTATGTTCTGGTAAAAACTCAGAACTAACCTAATAAAAACATGTAAAGTCATAAGTTACAGCATGAAACTCCAGCTTGTTGTTCCAAAAAAGTTAAAAATCCTCCAGAAGGCGATTTTTCACTCTCACTTCCTAACCTTAACGTTTCTAAAATAAGATTCAGTTTTATGTTGGAGAAACAGCATGACAGGTGACTTTAACTGACTAAAACATTTATCTGTTGGACATGTTTAAACCAGAATGAGGAGAAATAATTTCAGCGCCCTGTGAATAACTAAAGCATGTCACCAGACCAAACCACAGGCAGCCAATCCGAACGGCTGCCGCGTCCGGATGCTTCCTGCAGACCTTCACCTGTTTCTCAGGCGACAGACCAGAGACGGCCATGTAGGTGCTGCCGATCGTCTTGATCTTCTCGATGTCCTGGAAACGGTCTTCACCCAGCAGCTGCAACAAAAACAACGTTCACTGAGCTTCAAAACAATCTGATGCACAGAAACACGTCAGACCGAGCAGCTGGTCTCGTCTACGGCTGACCCGAACAAAACCAAAGTTCTGCCTGCTGCCTGAACCGTTTCTTAAACATGACCGACTGAAGCAGCACTGAAGCAGATCCATCAGAACCATCAGACCCATCAGATCCATCAACCATCAGAACCATCAGATCCATCAGAACCATCAGAACCATCAGATCCATCAGAACCATCAGATCCATCAGAACCATCAGACCCATCAGATCCATCAACCATCAGAACCATCAGACCC